ATGTTATCCTGTCGATGATAGTGACGATAATTTAGGTAAAATTAGTAGTCATTCTTTTAAAAAGCATTAAAATTCCCTTTGAAAATTTTCTTTTCTTATCATTTGTGTCCCTTTGAATGTCTCACTTTTTCTCTCCAGAACATTAAAAATTAATTTTTTCTCTCTATCTAACAGAAAATCAAAACTCTTAATAAACTTTGAGATTTCTGTAATTCCTTCATCTTGTAGAATGTTGGTATACAATGATGTAAAAACTACAGTGATGACTATCGATACAGCTGTTGTGTTTACTTTAAAATAATTTTTATATGAAAACTTGAAAAGAAGAAAATTTCTAGGACAAACTCGCGAAGACTGTATAATTTGGAAAGAATATTAAAGGTTTCAGTCAAGGGCATTACTTGTTTATTTTAATGCTTTTTAAAAGAATGACTACTAATTTTACCTAAATTATCGTCACTATCATCGACAGGATAACATATTTCTTTATATTGTAACTCAGTTGATTTATTGTTACTATTCAATGTATGATTATTGTCACAATTATTTTCTTCTATTTCATTTACATTTTGACATGATGCTGATGAACAAGAAGATAGTTCAGACGACAATGATGTTAGATCATGATTTGACACCATATATTCGGAATCACAAACTGATGAATCACAATTTTCTGGTACATTTAAAACGGACAAACGTGATGTATCAGGAACACGAATACTAGCGCTTATAATATCAGTTTTACCACTATCATCGAGTTTATCTTCTATACTCGGTCGTTTTAATTTAACAGATAAAAAACTATTATTGTTGTTGAGATCTTCATCGAAATTTGGATCAAAATCATCGGATAATGGACGTTTAAAATTAATATTTGTATCTGATGTTGTGGTCATAACAATACTGGGTACCAATAATTCACTATCACTACAATCTTGAGAAAGTGTTGAGTTAGGTATTGACGGTCTACTACAAAGTTAAAGAAGAGGTTATCAAAATTGGGTTGTTCTTTCGAGAAGGTACCATAGTTTACCATAGTTACCAATTGTTCAAGAGTAATAGGACAAGTAGAACTCGAGCTCCTGATGACGAATATCACGTTTAAAAAGTTTTAAAGCAACGGTATCTTCTCAACCTGTGGAACTTCCATTTCCTAGCAGAATAGTTCTTTTGTAGGCATTTTCACCATTTTTTAGTGAAATATTTTCATGGACTGGTACCGTTAGATTAGCTTCTGTATGTGCAAAGCTGCAAAATCACTAGCAGGCAAAAAGTTCCAAAATGTTAAGCACGTTCTCAGGAAGATGTTTAAAAAGGTCGTTTTTCTACGGGATTCCAGAACGTGAGATGACATATATCTCGCATGTACTCGACGTGGGCTATTAGAAAAACAGGTTTTTGTCTTTGGCCGAGTACTTTCGAAACAGACGAAAATCCTATGATGTTTTCGCTGGAAAAATACTTTTCCGTGAAAATACTTAAACCGAAGACAAAAGGCTGTTTTTCTAATAGCCCACGTCGAGTACATGCGAGATATATGTTATCCCACGTTCTGGAAACCCGTAGAACGGTGCAGCATGTATTCAAACTTTGAAAAATGAGAAAAATCACATTTAAGAGTTGTTTTTCTATCATTAAATATTTTCTAATCGCAGTGCAAACCCCTTCATCAGATAGAACTTGAAAAGACGCGTCGAATGCATATTTTGTTGTCTTGTTT